AGTTATAAGCATCGCCTCCGTACTTGTTGGTTGAAAACATCCACAGTTAACAATAATCTGTCCTCCAATTTGTTCTTCCACAACCAACTCAAAACATCAAAACTTATAGAAGTCAGTGTTAGCGATCACAATGAAGAGAGCTAAGAGCCTCCGTCGATCGATATCCCTTAGAGTGTATGAAGAAGTTTCCATGGCTGGGAAAACGGTGGCGATTACCAATGCCAACTGCGGTTTAGGTAAAGCTATGTACTGGATGTCATTTTATTCTACAGTAGCATATTTGTAGGGTTTCAGGTTGCTCGAATGATGGCGCTGCGAGACTCGCGTCTCATTCTGATCAGTTCTACGAAAGAAAGCGCTTTGAAGACGAAGGAGCGAATATTAAAAGATAAAGTAAGTAAAGCTATATTTTCAGGAGTTGCTGTAGTGACTGTCCAACTCATGTTTATTCTTTGAAACTGCTGAAGGAAACTTATTCTTTGGCATGAAAGTATTATTACTTAAAAACACCGTAAAATGATACTACCTCCATCAGGGGAGAAAAAATAAGTGAATGCTTAGGTCATTAAAGGTTTGAGGCGTTCGATCATTCCTTCCCTGGAAAATAGTCGTTGTTGCATTAATAAAGTATGTAAGATGCATTAATAAACTGAATCATCTGTGACATCTGACCTGGAATGAGTAGCTCCCGAAAGTGCATGACATCACTCACAGACCGGTTGTATGATTTCTGTTTTCACGATGAACAAATGACGCTTTGACATCTCTTAAAGGCCACAAACAATGCAATAGTTTTGTTTTGACACAACAAACTCCATATTCTTGTAGCCGCAGCTTCATAGTGTAAAAATGCAGAAAGGGAATAACCTTGCGCATCGCTAACTTTTGAATGTCGAGATAATCAGATGACGATTATACTTACAAGTAGTTTGGTTTCGCTTCAGACTGCTTTTGATTTGTAGACCATTTAAACCTGGATATGCTTGAGAAAATTCTAGTGATTAAAGGAAGAACTTGCTGAATAGATGAAAATCATTCACCTTGATAATTAACCGACTTTGAAGGCGCACGATAACAACTATATGCGGCTACTTCTCTGAGTACAGTTAACGTGAATCAGTAGCATCATTTTCTTTAATGCAGACCTGATATCTTGTTTATATGAATACTGATCTGAGAATTGAAAAAATATGGTTCATATACTGACACTTTCCATTCACATGTCATCCTTTCGACGTAAATGAATGAAGTGTGTATTGTGTTTTCATCCAGTTGATTTGCTGTCGATATTTCCTGTATAAATTAGGCCTTTCCGGTTCAGGAAATCGAAAGAGCGATTATCATCGCGTCTTAAACTCTAAAATGAGGGTGAGACATTGACGGTAACTTTGACAATAGAAGCTCTAAGCGAAACAATTTTCCAACAAGCGAATGCAGTTTGATAATTGGGCAGATACATTTTTAGGCAGAAAAATCCACCTTAATTTGACTCTGAGAACGATGAAGAAGACCAGCACCAGTGCCATAGAGTACTGTGGCTAAGAT